TGTTGTGATGAGCACTGGGTGTTAGATATAAGTGATGAATCACTAAATTCTCCTCAGAAACCAATATTACACTACATGTTAACTAATGAATTTAAATAAAAACTTGAAAGAAACAAAAAACAAATAATATAGGCTTTTCAGAGTAAACAGCAGAAACAGGAGAGAGAGAACATTAACAAAGAACTAATTCAAAAATTCCAGACGAAGGACATGAATTTCCAGATTGAACAAGCCCGCGCATGTTCAGCATAATGAGGAACCTCTGAAACCTCTGACAAACTGAATGAAGTATAAATGTTAATGGCACCCTCAATGTCCATCACCCATCTAGCCCATCCCCCCCACCCCCCCATCAACTCTCAGTTTGTTCTCTATCATTAAGAGTCTTTTACGGGAAAACCTATATTATTTGAAATTCCTGGGTGATCCATTATTTTTCTTCCCTTGTCTCCCTTTTCTACTTTTACTTTTTCTTTTGGTTCTACTGTGTCAGTGACTTCAAAATTTTTATCTTTCTACCTCTCTTCTTCATTCTCATTCTCCCATAATTTTTTTTCAAAACAATTTCCAAGATCATATTTTTATTTTCTGAATATTCTTTTTTTAAATGTACCTTTAAAATGATGTGTTTCAAGTATACATTATAATTTGCTCTCTGTATATACTGCAAAGTGATCATCCCGCAAAATCTAGTTACCATCCATCACCCTACAATTGGTCCCCTTCAGCCCTTCTCCCACCCCCAAGCCCCCTTCCCTCTGTTAATACCAATCTGTTCTCTGCATCCCTGAGTTCGTTTGTTTTGTTTCTCAGATTCTACATATGCGTGAAATCATGTGGTATTTGTCTTTCTCCTGAGTTATTCCACTTAGCATAATACTCTCATGGTCCATCCGTATCGTAAATGGCAAGATTTCATTCTTTTCAAAAATGGATCAACTTTATCCATTCATCCCTTGATGAACATTTAGCTTGTTTCAGTTTCTTGGCTATTGTAAATAATGCTGTGATCGACATAGAGAGGCGTATGTCTTTTCAAATTAGTGTTTTCATATTTTTTCGGGTAAAAACCCGGTAGTAGAGTAGTGGGATCAAATGGTAGTTTTATTTTTAATTTTTTGAGGAATATGCATATGTTTTCCACAGTGACTATGTCAATTTACATTCCTGCCAACAGTGTATGAGAGTTCCCATTTCTCTACATTTTCTCCAACACTTGTTATTTCTTGTCTTTTTGATAATAGCCATTCTAACAGGTGTGAGGTGATACCTCATCGTGGCTTTGATTTGTGTTTCCCTAAAAATTAGTGATCTGAACATCTTTTAATGTGCTCGTTGGCCATGAATAAAAGTATTTATTTTTTTTAAATGATTTATTTATTTTTGAGAGAGCACAAGTGGGGAAGGGGCAGGGATAGGGGGACAGAGGATCTGAAGTGGGCCATGTGCTGATAGCATTGAGCCCGATGTCGGGCCTGAACTCACGAACTGTGAGATCATGACCTGAGCCAAAGTTGAGGGCTCAACTGACTGAGCCACCCAGGCACCCCCATACTTTGTCTTTTTAAATCTGCCTTTCTAAATCCTTTTTTTTTTTTTTTTTTTTTTAAGTTTTAAAGCCTATACTACATTAGTAAACACAAGCAGAAAAGGAATGAGTGTCTCATTTGTTCTACAAACATCTTGGAACTCTTTGCAGCATTAGACCAGGCATAATTCTTATATAGAGCAGAGAACGTCTGTAGCATTCTTAGAGCAAAGAAAGTCTGTAGCATTCTTAATGGAAAGGAAAAAAAAAAAACAAAACACTACAAGTCCTGTTTTCTAATTTCTGTCTTCCCATGTACGATAAGGGATTGGGCAATAGCAGTAACACATGCAATTCATAGAACATTGAATATTTTCAAGGAGCTTTAGATAGGCTTATTTTCATTGGCTTCTCACAGGAACCATCGTGGTGCAATGCTCACCCTTTCACACATGAAGAAAACAAGGCATAGAAAAATTAGACTGATTTCGCACAGGGTCCTGTACCTAGTAATTGGGAAGGAGAACGTTGTCAGGACTTTTAGGTTCTTATCTGATTTTCTCTCCATTATATCGTGCCCACGAACTCTCAATTCAAGATCAGTTTCTCTGTGATTAGTTGCATCCCTGTGTCTCTGGAATGTGTCTTGGGGAACCCAGAGAAAGGTGTGAGGAGGGAGAGAGAGGAGCAGTCATCACCGTCCCCACTGCACATATAGTCACATAAAGTCATCCCGGGTGCCAACATTAAAACCTGGAACACAATGCAGATCTCTGGGACGTCCAGGGTATAGCTCCTCATGCTACATCCTGGTGCAAGACAGTGGCTCAGAGCAGACTTACCTTGTCCACACGCCAACTTCTGGCAGGTATGGTTGGTGGGCACTAGGAAGTAGCCTCCCGTGCATCGTACACAGATGTGTGCGTTGTGGCAAAGTTCACAGTTGTCAGGGCAGGGCAGGCAGGTGTGCCCCTCAGCAGGGTAGTAGCCTGCTGGGCAGCTCTCCCAACACTCCCCCTGATACAGGAAGCGCTCCTGGCCATGCTTATCTGAACAGACAGAGGGGCAAGAAAAAGAAAGAAAATGTACGAAATTAGCCAGGAAGCTAATATAACCTAAGATATATATATATTTTTTTTAAATGATGTAACTGAGTATTTTGCCTCCTCGGGGACCAGGAGTATATAAGAATTCATTTAATGAAAAGTACAATATCTATATCCTTATAGTAGAAGACTTTTCATCGTGGGGAATAATTTTTCAACATTTTGTGTATTTGAGCCAATAGGGACTATTCCCTGGGATGTCACTGCAAAAGCAGAAACCACAATCCGTGGATAACTATGAGTCAGAGTGTGTTTCATCTTCCCAAGGGCTCCTTTTGGTATCTGTGCAAGCTGTCAGACTTGGGGGCAATAGAGATCCTGTGACAATAAACAAATGCTTACCGATAGAACCATTTTTGGAAGAGGGCAGTCTTTTAGAAAGAGTCTGAATTCTGTTGTCAAAATCACACGCTTGTGTTAACTGTCTAAAGTCTGAATTTTTGCAGAGGTACCAACTCCTATGAAGACAGTGTATTAAAGTGCTAGACCAAGCACAGCTTTTTGGTTCCTTGAATGGATTTTTGAAAGTCCTGAGCTTCTGACAACATTGGAGTCTACATGGAAAAAATAACCGTACGTCTAGTATAAGACTATGGGAATTTGGTTTGGGAGGGAATAGAAAATTCAAACCAATTATAAACTCACAGTTAACAAAAAAATCATTATAATAAGTGTGTGTGTGTGTGTGTGTGTGTGTGTGTGTGTGTATGACAAAATTAATATAGATGCTCCTAGAGGTCTCCTGCCCTCACCCTACTGGAGTCTTTGCGCTGAGTGTGTTTAGGTTATCGATCTTCTCTGAATCACGTCTCCCATATGCTCCTGCCTGTGCAGAACGGCTGACCTGTGTTACCCAAAATAGCCGGAGTCGGGTGTTCACTTGTGATCTACCACATGAAGATCCAGAACCATTGACCTTCAAGGTGCAAGGCTGCTGAAATCTGTGGATGAAGATAGCGCTAACTCCATGTTGCACATGCAGAATCTTAACATCAGTATAATGGATTGGACCACGTTAAATTGCAAACATTCACCTATTTTTGTGTCCGTACACTTGGCACTTTCAAATGATCTAACGTCATGTTTTGTCCTCAAATCCCTAGTTCAAATCCAACTTAAAAATCACGCCCTTGGATCCTGGGCTCTTCTCTGTTTGTGATTTCATGCCAGGAGTCTGCTGGTTCCCATGGGGCAAAGAAGATAAAGAGAACTGCCATAGGGGTGGTGCACACAAGTTGCTTCCCTCTACAACTATGAGTTGGGGGAACGTTATCCTTTAAGGGAAGGAGAATGTTTGGGAGGATATGATGTGCACTTGGTGATTCTACAGCTACACGTCAAAACGGAGCACAAACCCCCGATCTGGCGGAACATGGACTCTTGAGACCACAAAAGGGTCAACCTTCCAAGCCATGTTCTTCTCAGACACATTATGAAACCCTAGCAAACCCCATGTCCACCAAGATTCATTCAGAAAACATCCTGTTTTTCGGAGGGCCAAACTTCTCAGATATAGGTAGGAAGATTTGAAGAGAACAGTGAAAAGTATGGTATTGGCACAAAAACAGACACATAGGCCAACGGAATAGAATAGAGAACCCAGAATTGGACCCAAAAATGTATGGCCAACTCATCTTTGACAAAACAGGAAAGAGTATCCAATGGAAAAAAGACAGTCTCTTTAGCAAATGGTGCCGGTAGAACTGGACCACTTTCTTACACCATACACAAAAATAAACTCAAAATGAAGGAAAGACCTAAATGTGAGACAGGAAGCCATCAAAACCCTAGAGGAGAAAACAGGCAACAACCTCTTTGACCTCAGCTACAGCCATTTCTTACTCGACACATCTCCAAAGGCAAGGGAATTCAAAGCAAAAATGAACTACTGGGACCCCATCAAGATAAAAAGCTTCTGCACTGCAAAGGAAACAATCAACGAAACTAAAAGGCAACTGACGGAATGGAAAAAGATATTTGCAAATGACATATCAGATAAAGGGTTAGTATCCAAAACCTGTAAAGAACTTACCAAACTCCACACCCGAAACACATAATCCAGTGAAGAAATGGACAGAAGACATGAATAGACACTTTTCCAAAGAAGACATCTAGATGGTCAACAGACACATGAAAAGATGCTCAACATCACTCACCATCAGGGAAACACAAATCAAAACTACAATGAGATACCACCTCACACCTGTCAGGATGAGTAAAATTAACAACACAAGAGACAACAGGTGTTGGAGAGGATGTGGAGAAAGGGGAACCCTCCGGCACTATTGGTGGGAATGCAAACTGGTGCAGCTGCTCTGGAAAAGAGTGTGGAGGATCCTCAAAAAATTAAAAATAAAACTACCCTATGACCCAGCAATAGCACTCCTAGGAATTTACCCAAGGGATACAGGAGTGCTGATGCAGAGGGGCACTTGTACCCCAGTGTTTATAGCAGCGCTTTCAACAATAGCCCAGTTAGGGAAAGAGCCTAAATGTCCATCAACTGATGAATGGATAAAAAAAGATGTGGTTTATATATACGATGGAATACTACTTGGCAATGAGAAAGAAGGAAATCCTGCCATTTGCCGCAACGTGGATGGAACTGGAAAGTATTATGCTGAGTGAAATAAGTCAGTCAGAGAAAGACAGATACCGTATGTTTTCACTCATATGTGGATCCTGAGAAACTTAACAGAAGTCCATGGGGGAAAGGAAGGGGAAAAGCGAGGTACAAACAGAGAGGGAGGCAAACCACGAGACTCTTAAATACAGAGAACAAACTGAGGTTGGACGGGGGTTGGGGGGAGAGGAAAAATGGGTGATGGACATTGAGGAGGGCACTTGCTGGGATGAGCACTGGGTGTTGTATGGAAGCCACTTTGACAATAAATTATATTTTAAAAAATGAAGAGAACAGTGAGAAGCTCCTCCCTCTTCCATCTGGCAATTGCTGTACGTTCCCTACATCCTCACGCGACATCCCCCCCGGATCCAGAGGCTTGGCGACAGCCGGGCATATAATGAATTCTAAATACGTATTTGTTGAATGAATGAATGAATGAATGAGTGGCTAAGTGCATGAATATTTAGCAGTAGCCCTACTCTACATACCGATCTGGATCAGCAACCTAAAACTAAAAAGTAACGATGATGGGCTCAGATATCAGAAGCGATGTTCTCCCATCCCATTTGTATTATTCAGACATGGCTTTATTATTTGAACCACTTTGGGTATTACAATTTGAGTTTGAAAAACAGACTTGGATGGTCTTGGGATTTAAAGTACATGGACCCTGTAAAGGAGTTCACATAGATGCCTGGATCCTGGGCAGCTCTCCCCACAGGTCTGGTCCAGGGTTACACCAAGATTTGCTCACATTTCTAATAGCCTGGGTCGTATGGCAGCTCATTTAGCTCTGGCTGATAATTTGGATATCCCGTTGATCTAAATACCATGCATAAATGGCTGGCTACTTGCTCAGAGTCTCAGAATTTAAATTATTGTAATGATATATAAGAGGAGCTGGTTCTAACAGTAGAAGGGATATTTTTGCTGGGTGCTACACCTCATGTGATCATATGAAACAAGATATAAAGTGCAAGAAACTCTGAGAGGGGTTCCGATTGGCTTTCGTTTACACGTGAGAGCAATTCGCTATTTCCGGAGCATCTCTTACGGCTAAATTTCGTCACAAGAGAAGATAGACTCATGTGAAGATACCACATGTCTTCGGGAAGAAAGGAAGGTCGAAGGCGGAAGGCAAGAGGGGGAAAAAAGGATTGCGGGAAAGGATGAAAGAAAGGCCAAGGGACCCTGAAAATAAACCGTGTGAAGTCCACTTCAACGTGTTTCTTACTGTAGCTGCTGGGGTGGGGGGGGGGGTCGATTTTAGCTTTGCGTTGGTTCAGTTTGGTAGAGAACAGATCGGGAAAAGAACTTCGAGTGAATCTTCACCAACAGAGCGGAGCTGGCAGTTGGCACCTCCAAAAGGATTCAGACCTAAATTCTTAACAGCATTACAATTGCACAAAGGTGAGATTTCTCCAGACTGATGGGAAACGCTGATGGTGTGTAGATGGGACTCCCTAGTCAGAGGGTTTCAGGGTTTTATTAAAGCCTGCGGATACGGAACTGCGTCTGTCCAATCATCCCTTGTTGTTAGCACTGTTTCACCTGCTGGCTGTGCTAATACAAGTATGAGAGACACCGTGCTCTTAAGAGGAGAGAACCCTCCTAATCAGAGCTTGCTCAACAGTACCCTCTCCAGCAAGCCTTTTCTGCTGGCTCATAGCTGAAAGTGATGCTTCTTCTCTGACTTGTGGTAGGATGCCTTCCTTCGTTTGGTCTTTAATATATTCTCGTTTTACAATACCTAACCACAACCCCCTCTGTTAGAGCGTCCACTCCTTGAGGGCAGGCGTCATACAGTCTTTTAGTGCATTTTCCACGGCAGCTCTGTGTAGCAACCTGTACGTGCGAGAGTTACGGTGCAATTTTGTGAAGACGGGAGCAAATCGACTTTTAGACAAAAAATGCAGAGGAGACATCAAAGCGTTTTATGTGTGGATTGGTCCACGTAATTACGGGATGCTGCAAACATTTCAGACATTTGTTCAGTATTCAAGTGAATCGTTAATTTTGTACTATGCGTGAAGATTTAGTAGGTTTCAAGTGTGCAAGGGATTTTGGATGCCGTCTTGTCTATGTGTCCCCTCTCCTTTTCTTTTCTTTTCTTTTCTTTTCTTTTCTTTTCTTCTTTTTTTCTTTTTTCTCTTCTTTCCTTTCCTTTCCTTTCCTTTCCTTTCCTTTCTCCTTTCCTTTCCTTTTTCCTTTCCTTTTTTCTTTTCTTTTTTCTTTTCTTTTCTTTTCTTTTCTTTTCTTTTCTTTCTTTCTTTTCTTTTCCTTTCCTTTCCTTTCCTTTCCTTTCCTTTCCTTTTTCCTTTCCTTTTTTCTTTCTTTTCTTTTCTTTTCTTTTCTTTTCTTTCTTTTCTTTTCTTCTTTTTTTCTTTTACAAACAAGGAGAGACTTAAAGAGGTGGAGAGACTGGTTTAATATCTTCTAGTTCATCAGTAACCAAGCAGGAAGTAGGTCCCCTCGTGGCTGCTTCTGGCATTCTTTCTCCTGAACCATTGATTCAGTTATATTGTGGGCCTTCCACCTGCCGAATGCTCTCCTCGCACTCGAGCTGGTGCTCGGTTAGACACTGTCCGCTGCTCTTATAGGACATAGAGCTTTACGGACAAGACAGATATCAAGTTTGAGGACACCTGTAAAGGGGTTAAGTGGAGGGTCTCAGGATACACGTATGGAGCAGTCCCAACTGAGACGGGAGATTGGGGCAGCCCTCATGGAGGGAATGAAGTTGACACGGAGACCTAAAAAGTAAACAGAGGCCAGGCAGACAGCGAGCGGGGAACATCTCCATTGAAACAGTTTTGCATCCCGAGAAATTCACATGCCCACAGGAGGAAGTAGGTGCAAATAATGAGTGGTAACAGTAGCAGTAAGGGTAGTAGTTAATATTTACTGAGTACTGTTCATGTGGCCAGCCTGGTTTTAAGTGATTTGGTATTTTATCTCATTTAATCTCATTTCATTTTCATAATAACCTTAAAAGTAGAAACCCTTTATCACCCTCTTCGAGATGAGGAAGGACACAGAAGGACCAGCCTCGCGAGAAAATTTGACATAGATCCATTTTGTTTACGTAAGAAACGCAAAAAAAAAAAAAAAAAAAATTGCACCAAGAAATGCGTTGTCCCCCATTTTCCTGCAAATGCATGCTGCTCGCGATTTGTTCTTCATTTTTCTTGGCTTTATCACAAGCAAGAATAAAGATGAATCATTCTTTTTTCCCCGGGACAAAGCAAAAACAGAAGCAAGAACGAAAGCCCGGGTTGTTCTTTGAAAGTTTTCAATATTTAAGAAAAAGTTTATTTATTTTGAGAGAGAGAAGGAGTGGGAGGGGCAGAGAGGGAGGGATAGAGAATCTCAAGCAGGCCCCACGCGGGCAGCGCGGAGCCCTACGCGGGGCTTGAACACGCGAACTGTGAGATCATGACCTGAGCAGAAGCCAAAAGTCAGACGCTTAACTGACTGAACCACCCAGGTGCCCCTGAAATTTACCAATTCTTAAACACGGCTTAAATGTTAAAAGTATCATGGGAGTCAAATAAAATATGAACCTGACTCATGTGAGGTCAACGTTGGGGGCAGGCGTATGAGGGGAGTCAAGGGTCAACCTGCAGAGGACCTTTGAGATCATGGAGTATAATCCAGTGACAGCAGAGACTTAGACTTTTTAAGGTGCGACACAAAAAGTTCTATTTTTGTGTTGAAACCATTCCTTTGTTTCTACAGTAGGGCTCTAACAACTTCTAAATGGCATAGCTCAGGGCTGAAGAGGCCTTAACACAGCGTCTATTTCAATATTTCTCTTAAAGACTGAGTCCATCTTCCTTAACATCCTAGCTTTTCACTTTGACCTCAGGAAATCTTAGCTTCACTGTCTCATGTCTAACACCATGTCTGCATGACCTTTCTTTCCCCTTCTCCAGAAAGACACCTCGTAGCTTCTCTCTCATCTCCTTAGGGGCAGTGAGTCTGGGTCTACAATAATGTGAACTCGTTTCCTGACAAGAAGCAGAAGCTTCAAGGTCATACACACTCTCCAGTGAACGGCCGCCTAATAACCCCTTGTCCCCGGAGATGAGGCTTCTGAGTCAAAGCAAATTATGGCCAGTGGGAGAACAGGTTTGAAGAAAGGAAGAAGAGAAGAGCCGGATTTCCTCACCTACTCCACAGGAAGTGCAGTTGGAAGGCTCATTTCCTTGGCATTCTTGGCAGGTGTAATGGCACAAATGGCATTGGTTCTGAAATTCAAATTTCCCTGAGGGACATTTGAAAACGCAGTGGCCGTTGTCAAAAACCCTAGAGAAAGAGCAGATTTCAGAGTTTGTAAGGGTGACTTTCTGGAATGGCTGTAAGTGTTAGGACATGTGGTGTTCACGTTTCACTGCACAGACTTGGTTTCATCATTCCAGAAACAAGGGCGAATGCCTGGGACTGATCATCTTAGAACATGTGGAATATTAGTCATGTACCCATCCTTGGCCCAAGGTTTGGACCCAACAGCAGGCATGCCAGAAACTGGCTCAGGATGCAACCGTGATTCTGGTTCCAAACAAGCTAACCAATGCCTGCAGGGATTAAACCCATATTGTGGGGCCCGGCCAAACGTAGTCAACAATCAGATGGAGGTCTTTAAACTTTCAAGACATTAAATAGGCCTCTGGATCCAGAGGCCTTGGAGAAAATATTATTCCTTTAGTTATCAGCATGCCCACGCTTTACAAGGGAGATGTCAACATCAAGGGCTCTCAAAGGGTAGAACGAAACACTGTCCTGTAGCTTACATGCTACTTATAAACTTGGCCTATGCATATGGCAAGTGATCAATGAACTGATTTTGAGTGTCATTTTTGCAAGCACTTCTTGACGTATCAAGTACCATTTTTTTTTTAATTTTGTTTGCAAACACCTACAAGGACCCCCCCCCCCAGATGGGATAGCGTGTGGGCTTATAAAACCTTTGACTTTATACACATACAATCCATATCACAGTATTTTCATCGTTTTGCTTCTTTTCTTCCTTTGCAAAGTAATTCCAAGAGCAAATGTGGTTAAGTAAGTGGTAGCCAAGAATTTGGCTCTTTCAGATGCAAAATGTTCCCCAAGTGCTAGAGTCAGATAGGTAATATGGATAGATGGAGTGAGCTGCAGGGCTGCACCCCCAGAGTTTCTAATTCAGTCGTCTTTGGGGGAGGGAGCTGAGAATTTGTGGTTTTTCAATTCCTGGGTGGTGCTCATGCTGCTGGTCTAGGGAGACATTTTGAGAGCCGCTGTTTTCCCTTCAGCAGAAGAATGAGACAGAATGGAGTACTGTGGAATCTGTTAAATGATTCCTAAGTAACACCGGCGGTGCCCAATTGGGTCCGTTAGAGCTTCCTTCCGGTAGTCGTTACTGTATCCCTTGTGAGGTGAACTGAGCCTGTAGTGCGCCTGTTTCCCCCGAGGGTGTGACGTTGGCATCCAGGCCTGAGAGAGTGGAGGGCCTGTCAGCAAAGGTAAGGCTTCTTTCTCTCTCTACCACCTCCTTCCACCCGAGCTGGATGTATCGTGGAAGGTCAGGTGTAGGCCCGGGGTGCCCTGGCTTGGCTGAATCCCACCGTTTCCATAGCTAGAGGCAGCCCTGAACTGGAAATGGGCATTTCAGTCACAGGTTGGGAGGAAGTTGGAGCAGGAGCAAGGCGACCTGACCTAGCGTGTTGCTTGCAATCTTCCAATGCGTCGCCCCGAAAGCCCGTGTCATTTGCATCTGTTGGGAACAATGGGAAAGCCACCTGGTTCTTGGGTTCTCCGCCTTTCAGGTTCTGGTCACCATCCCCAGCGCTCCTGGAGTGAGCCATCCTTTTGGCCACTGCAGAGCCCGGAGTCCCAGCCCTAAACAGACACGTAGGCACATCTGTTCGTCCGTGTCAAAACAGATGCCCTGCACCATGGTGTATGATGAGAAGGCTGTGCTCCCAGCCCAGACTTGAGTTGACGGCACTAATGCGAACTGGGAATATCCCAGCCCCACCCTGGCTCTGGTTTCTGAGCTAGAAGATTTTTCAAGGGATATTTGGATGGGACTATCAAAAAAAAAAAAAAAAAAACCACCAAAAAAACCAAAAAAACCTCCCTTTAAGAAAAACTGCGTAAGAGCTTTCTGAGGTTTTTAAACAAGGAAGCTGCTAGACGCTCTCCTGGAAGGGAGAATGGGGACATTTATTTGTGAGGATTCTGCCCCCCCCCCCCCCCCCCCCCCCCCCCCGCTAAACACAGTTGAAAAAGGGATGAAAAGTATATCATCATGTTTGTCTTTTATAGAAAGAGATGACGGATTTGTTTAGGGGGAAATCATTTCTCTTGGGAGAGGTGATCTAATACTCTCCATGATGGGAACCATTTAGAAGCATCCAGAACGTGGGGGTGGTGGGCTGGAGAGCGAAGCCGATGGTGTAATACTTCTGTGTTTATGTATGGAGGAGGCTGCATTTCTCACTTGAGTACTTGATTTTAAGGAAATGCCAAGCACATAATTGTGCTTTGAAATACCTGCTTTCATATCGACCCTAAGGAAAGCACAGGAGATATACACAGTTTGTTGTTGTTGTTGTTTTAATATAAGAACGCGATTCTTTTTAGAGATCTAAAAAGAGAAGGAAAACCGTCATGCTTAGGTAAAGGCACTGAATTACATCATCCCCTCCATCCCCCATCCTCGTCAAGGAAAACTGCTAAGGAGCTTGAGAAAAGTACCATTTTAAGTGGCACAGATTTTTCCACTGACAGCAACAAATCTTCCCTAATGTAGGAGAATAGATACCCCGCTCTGGGCTCCATGGGGCTGATGACAATTTCCTTTAAAGCCAACTCAAGCCATCTCTAGGACAGCCAGTCATCCAATCTGTGGATTTCTGAGAGAGTCAGGCCAGCTAATCTCTGCAGGGGAGGCATTTCTTCTCCCAAGTCACACATGTTCTTAGCCTTTTCGTAAGCAGCGAACCATTTCAGAGCAGTGAACAGCGCTTATGGAAAGGAAGGACTTGGCAAAACCGAGTGCTAAAGAGTTGGGCAGAGGTAATGTTCTCAATATTGGCACTAAATTTTCTAGACATCCAAGTGTGTGTGTCGTGTGTGTGTGCACACGCGCGTGTGCGTGTGATGGAATTGGAACAGAAGAGCTGGAACGTCAGGGTTAGCTGATCCTCTCTGCTGGTTATTGGTTTGGCCTAAATAAGCTATCACAAGGGCCCTTAGTATAATTTCTTGGTTCTTTAATGTTAAAGCAATGAAATCTGGCCAGAAAAGTCTTTCTTTACCCCTGAATGCAGTGAAACAGGTCAAACAAAACATTTGAGGGTGGGTCAGAACAGAAGTAACTTTTAATGCTTTTAATGAGTTCATCGGGTCTATCACTCCTTCAGTTCTGGGTTGGGCAACCAGCTTGGGCCATCAAGATCATGGCCTTGCAAGGGTGAGCATGTTGTTGCAAGTGCCGAAGGGGGCACTCGCTTCCTGCAAATTTTCAGTGGTCTCTAAGATGCTAAACCCAAGAGTTTCTGGAAATGTAAAGAGAGAACTAGAATATGAAGAGAGGGCTTCCTAAAGTTTGATTTCCTAAAGTTGGAAGTTATTTGAACTTCAGGATTACATTATTTTTTAAAAATGTGTCAAGGGAAAATGTAAACATACTTAAAATAAGTATACATACAAGACGTAACAGTACCCTTCCCCCTGTATTCACCTCGCAATTTCAGTACATGGCCAATATTTATATTCCCATCAATTTACTTCCCTCCCATATTATTTTGAAGCGAACCCATATTTAAATATTAACACTCCTCTCCTAGATAAAAACTCCTTTAGGGATGATCTTTTCTCTACCAGGACTAGAGCTATCCCAAAGCTTAAGGCGAGGAAGAGACTCCGACAAACCCACTGTCCTGATTATTCTGTGTGTCTCCTTACCCCTAACGCTTGCGTCAGATCCATTTTTTGTCATTCTCTGTCCTGCTGTGTCCTGTGCCCACTGGAAACTGCCTTCCTGAGCTCTTTACCTGAGCTACCTGTAAGTATTCGTCGACCTTGCACCTAACTCAGAGCTGGACACAAAGCAGGTGCTCCATACCATCTTGAATGGATCTGATTCCACTCAGGGAAACGCTTTGGAAAAGACTTAAGAAAAATACGTTGCTGCCCAAATAAGTCAACACCATCATCTTTCAAAATAGTTTTTTTTTTTTTTTTTTTTTTTTTTTTTTTTTTTTTTTTTTTTTTTTTTCTCTTCATCCTTGTTCTGGGAAAATGCAGGTGAACAAGAGTCAGGTGAACAAGAGGTAGTTCATTGCCAAGACATGATGCCCTTTCTTGCACATATTTGCAAGTTATTTTCCTCAAGGAAGAGACATGAGCAAAATGGAGTGCTCAGGGAGACGAGCAAAATATTATTCCTGGGAAACAAGATGTCCTTGAGAGGACACCTTAACTCAAGATCCACGCACATGCTTTTCTTTCTCCGAGAGCTAAATCATGGGCTGCTTAAGACAGTTACACTACCCCAATGGCTGTGGAGCTGTATCTCCTTTCGTGTACCAGTGGGTTTCAGTTTTTTAAATGGCTAGTTACGGTCGTAGAGTTTTTTTCTCACTTTTGATGAGCCTCAGACAGTCATGACTCCTGCAGTATATCCTGGACGATGGTAGCTGCCTTAGTAAATGAATGCTAGTAAGTTCCCTTAGTTCAAAGTTGTCCAAACATGGAGTGGAATTTGACTGTTGATGCGGTAAGGAGTTAGGAGAAAGAGGACGCATATTCAGAATGATGTCTCTACCTAAGAGTATGTCTTGAAACTGCTTTAAGGCAAACCCAATATTTAGAGGCATAGATATCTTGAAGAGACCTTTGGAAAATGTCACCGCAGTTAGCACTGAAAGTTCTTAAAGCAGTTCTTGTGTGCCTGTTCCCTTTCCTCCCTCCATCTCTGCCTTCCTTCTTTCTCCTCCTGAGGGAGCTATTTGGAAAGCCAAGCCCATGATGTTGATTACACACTTTATCAAATTCGATTCAAGGCACATGTCTTGAATTGTTACTGTGTGTTGATCACTGTGGGGGAAGAGGGAGACTCACCCACACGATTCCCTCTCAGGATATTCTAGTCCTGAGGACAAATGAAATGAAATGGCGGTTGTCCAAAACAGAGGGAATGTCCATCCTAGGGATTCACCTGATGCTGGAACAGCCTCGTCATACTGGTCTGGAGAGAGACTGCTTCCTACGTATCTAGCAGAGTGGTGATGGGGCTATTCATTCGAACATTCAGTCGGCCAAAATATTAAGTGCTCCACTCAGAGGAGTGTTGACCAAGAGTCCAACAGGCTTCCAACTCTCTCCACTAGAAATTCCCAGTGGATTAGCAGAGATCCTCGTCCCATTCCAATACTTGTTATTTCCCCATCCATTCAGCTACCAAACATTTATCGAGTGCCTACTGTTTTCCTTGCACTGTGATAGGTGATGGAGATACAAAGGTGAGTATTTCAAGGGACTTAGGGAAATACAGCCCATCTATAGAGATACCGAGATTTGTAACTTAATGTTTCAAAATGTCACCGGTGCTCTTATAGAAGTTTATACGGAGCACAGGAAAATGTAAAGAGGAGAAGGTTAATTCTGCGAAGAGGTCAAAATACCTTTGTAGAATAATTCACCCTTGAACTGACTCTAGAAAAATGAGTAGATATTTGATCAGCAGATGGAGATAATGGGTGTGCAGAAGGGGTTGTAGTTGTCAAAGGCACCGTCGTCTTCATGGATGAAAGCCTCTCTAGTGTCCAGGGAGCTGGTTCTGGGAGGGGGTACTGGGCATCATGGAGAGAAGATGTTACAGAGGTGCGCTGTGGCCAGACCGTGGGGAGTTTTTGTGTCATGGAAAGGTGTTTGGTTCTTTTTCCTGCAGGCCCAAGGGGGTGTCTTTAAGGTCGTAAACGCCTCCTCTCTCCAACCTGCCACCCATGAGCTCCCAACCACAGGAGGTACTGAAAGGCCACTCACCTTGTGACAGGGCAGCCAGTGCAGTCTTCCTGAGTGGGCCCCCAGCACTTGGCACACGAGGCGTCACAGATCTGGCAGTGGCCATGCTCATCGATGTATTCTCCTAGGGAACAAAACCTAATTGTTTACCTCGTTTCCACATGGCAGCGCTGCCTCGGCCGTCAGTCTGAGAGCAGCCAGATCGCTCCGTGGCTGCCCGAAAGCAATGGAAACAACACAGAGAGGAGACCTTGGATGGCTTCAGTTGCCGGTCCTAAGTCCTGACCTTATAATAACAACTGCTCCTCTCCCAAGGGCCTCGGAATTTGGAACCTCAAAAAGTTATGAGGCAATGACATAATTTTGGATCTAGTCAACATGTGTTACGGATTAAATAAGTACAGAGAGGCCAAGGGGGGCTTCTCATAGGACCCCTTTACTGAGCTCCTTCTGACTTGCCTGTTAACGGCTGAGAATGCTTGGACCCCAGAGACCTCCGTTACAGCCTTGGTTCAAGTCAAGCAACAAGCAGGACCCACCCACAACTCTGGGGTTATTATGGTAACTAGTCAAGAAGGGGAGTCAAAGCTTGGGTAACATTTGACAGATGTGAGCTGCATCTCACCCCGAAAGAGTAACAATGAAGAGATAGCCACAGAATTCTTCACTTATTTGGAAAGTATCCTTCCCAAGGAAAAACACATAGGAGGCCTTTCCACTGAAGCACGTGTAGCTTCCCAAACTTCTTCTGAACATGTAAGAAATTACTCTCCCAGCAAAGATGGTGGGGACAAGCCAGCCTCTTTGAAGGTGATCATCCAGTGATAAACCAATGTTGGGTCTCATTGAACCCAACCCTCTACTCACACTACACAACGTCTTCTCCCCCCACGGTCCTAGAAGAAATCGAGAAGTTTCTTTAGTCTGATCCCAAGAGTCACTCTGTATGGTTTGGAAACCAATCACGCACAGAAAACATGGCTTCAGATTTCAGGAGAATCACTCCACCCCCTGTAAGTATGTCTGAACATTGTCAATCTGAGATCCAGCCAGAATAGGGAGGTAGCAGTTCCTCACGCATGGTTTAACCAAGTCTTACTGAAACTCGAAGATTTGCTGCCTGATTTATTGTAGTTGCTTTGAAGCCATGGAAACATAGACTTGACTGGTGAGAAATTGAAGGAAGTTCACCCCTCTGCATTGTCCCATGGCTTTATTGAACTAGGTAAGCTTACTAGGTGAGGTAACCTTAGATATATAAATCCTTCCCTTGCCCTAACCACAAAAATGAAAATGAGGCGGCAGGGAGATTTTGTCCTTCTATACAGAAAAAGCCTTTGATGTAGTTACTCTGTGAGTTTTGTTAACTAAAGGGGAAAAGTAAATATTCGGAGCAACGCAATTATCTAATAGCGGCATATCCTGCACATCCCAGACTCTGTTCTTTGTTCCTCGGTCGTTGCCAAGGAATCTGATATATAACTTTTCATTTTTTTTGAAAGAAAAAATATAACTTTTCATTTTTTTATTTTTGAGAGAGAGGGAGAGAGAGAGACAGAGACAGAGCACAAGCAGGGGAGGGACAGAGAGACAGAGGGAGAATCCAAAGCAGGTTCCAGGCTCTGAGCCATCAGCACAGAGCCCGACGCAGGGCTTGAACTCATAAACCGTGAGATCATGACCTGAGCTGAAGGTGGTCGCTTAACCGACTGAGCCACCCAGGCGCCCCTGATATATAACTTTTAGAATGGAACCATAGTTTTTAGCTCAGGAGTGACTCCCGGGAGCCCAATGCCCCAAAGAGTGAGTACCCAGTGGGGGCAAAGAATGCAAACGTGCAGGTTGTTCACTGCACAAGGTGCCTGTCCCAGTGGCCATGTGGAAGCAGAAATCCAGCCCATGTTCATCTCACCAAGCCACGCACTCTGGTTTGGCTGTCTCTGCCTCTGCCCCTGTAGGGGACACCTTTTGCTAATTCACACAAAGGTATTAGAAATGGACAAATTGCATTCTTGGTCATCAGAAAGCTTGGTTTCCAAGGGAGAAAAAAGCTGGGACTTCTGTCTAGTAGGAATGGGTGATTTCAAGTTGAGACTGCCTCATTCAGTATAGGCCTCATGTTTTTTTTTTT